AATGAATTCTGAACGTGTAGCATAATGAACTTAATTTTGGGTTCAATTCATTTAAATGGACGTTTCATTTGAGGTTTGACTGAATTGAGAGACTCAAAAATGTTGTTACCTTAAGATCATTCATTTTCAGTGGAGAATTGTTTATTTGAAATGGAAAACTGTATTGAATCAGTTTTCTTTTCATTTACCATTCATATGTTTTTATGAAATCAGTTGGAAACGTATCATATTCTGCACTATTTACTGTTTCTTTATTGCAAAGAATATTCATAACATCTGCAGAGAACTGTTCTTTTGTTTTGAATCGCCGAGGGCATATCGTTTACGTGTAATAGGAAGAGGATATGGTCTAAAATAGAACCCTGAGATATCCTTTGTGCAATTGTCCATGAATGGGAAAGGTGAGCAAATAATGTTCCATTGTTCCAGGACGGTATTTCTACTCTCTGAGATTGTTTTTTAAGTATTGTGTAGAATTGCTTGATTATTTTTGGCTTCACCTGCATTTGAACGTTTGATGATATCTAGTTTATATGGCAGAACCATCGCGAAGGGCTCTGTTGCGTGAGAGAGAGTAGCCAGCACTGATTTTCTGAATCGTTTCCCCAACAGAATGAGAGTGTAACTTCAGCTCCAGCACGTAGGCATCGGAAACACAACATCATGCTCATTTTTCTTATTTTTCAATAAATATTCTAATTTCCTTCAAGGCAATATTGAAATTGCTGTAGAAATCTTTGGTTTGATGGCAAAACTAAAATGCATTAAATCTAATAAATATGAAATTAAATGTATTCAAAAATTATTTTTGAATTCGGCTATCCTGAACATGATTACTGCCCGTTCTGCAACAAAGCGCGCCCCCAAAATTGAACATGTTCCTGCACTCGACTGAGTTGTGTTTCCTTCTATGGTAGCTAGCACCTAAACCATCCAAAGAATTTTCTTAAAAGATTTTCCCTAATCGAACTGGCCGTAACTCGGAGTTCTGCGAATTGGAAACGGATGTTTTGATTTTTGATAGAACATTATATGAAGCCTTAAGAACATTTTCAAAATTTTCTCAAAAATGACACCAATTTTTTGACTAATTTTTCTCAAATAGATCAAAATTAGCAAAACCAAAGGGCATGTTTTATTTACGTTGAACTCTGAATTTTCGAAAATAGCAAATTTTCAAAATGTTTTCAGCATCTTCCTGTCACTACAATATTCATTATAGAGATGATTCTTTAATGAAATTTGTACTTCCAAGTTAGATCTCTAAATGAGGTAATATACAATATTTCGGCTAAATGAGTAGTTTTCACGTAAGTTTGTGTTTGTAAAAAGATTTTCTCAAAAATGGCTCCAGATTATTTCTATAATATTTTATTGAATATAGCAAAGTACGCTTATAAAAATTATACAGGTTCTATTTTCGTTGAACTCTTTCAATTTTGAAAAAATAGCACCCCTAGTTTTCTTGGTTCAGCATCAGCATCAGTATGATAAGAAATAAACGATTAAAATCCGTTTGGGCGTGAACCTTATTTAAAGGCTCACTGAGTAAAACGTGTCAGATGATGACGACATACAAAATTCTTAGCTATATCATATCAGGTGGTGTCTCAGAACCTGTCACCTTATGGTTTTGTTGAACTTTCGACTACATGTGGACATAATAAAATTATGTTTCACAATAAAGGGAATAAATCGACATTTAATATCACCGTACATTTTTCAAAAAATAAAGGAGTTCAACTAGAGGAATCCTCAAGAGTCCCAATAATGAAAAAGTGTCGAAGACTTCAAAATTGAACACTCGACAGCGATCTAGTAGCAACTCTCGGCATCACAAACTCCTCGCGTTGCTGCCAACTCACTAATCGATCTGCCGAATCGCTCTTACCGATACAGTATTGTACCCCTGTAAACTCCGTCATTAGGAGAGGTTAAAACACCGCATTCAAATCAGCATGAGGAAAAAACATTTTAAAACTGTGGAATGTTGTTTACACATTATAAGTAAATAAATAAATAAAACTAATGCAAGACGTCGAAGGGATAGTGAATCTCCTTGACAAATTCCTCTGTTAATCTGAATACTTCTTGTTTCTACAACTTCCTTTCCGCTGTGTATTAGTAACCTGGTACTGCGCGACTTCAAACCAGCCTTGCAAAACGCAATAAGTCGAGGATGAAATCGAAGGATCTCCAGGGTCTTCAAAATCCAATCGTGTCCAACACTGTCAAAGGCCTTCTTGTAATCAATCCAAGCCGTGCTAAGTTACGTTTTAGTTTCCTTTCTTCATTCAAGATGACTTTATTTAGTAGCAAGATTTCCTTACAGCCCTACCAACCTTTACAACCTTTCTGTTCCACTGGCAATAGATGAATCTTCTCTATGTGTATGTACATTTGTTAGCTTTGACTGCAGTTAGAACTTTGTACATTATTGGCAGACAAGTGAATGGCCAGTAGTTCTCTCCCGCTTTAGGTAGCAAATACGTGATGCCGCGTATGAGCCATTCCGTGATTTCCCTTGGGTGTTCTAAAATTTTATTAACAGCCTTTGCTAAATGGGAATATAATGCTGTTAATTATAATATAATCTTTTGTTGTTATAATCAAATAATTCTGGATCTTATCAGTCTCGGGGATTTCCATTTTCCCATGTTCTTGATTACTTGGAAGAGGTCCTCTTCCGAGAATTCGAGAACATGTTCCACTGTTTTCACAAGTTCATCGGCAGCATCAACTTATCATTGAAGCCAAGATACGTCTTTGTTGTAGGATTTGCCTTCTTCTCACATTTTTGCCCAAAATGTTTCGACCTGTCCTATGATAAAGCACGCACCCGAAAGGCCCGGGTCCCCAATGTTGAAGGGCCCCCGATAGTTCTTACAAAAGTATTTAATACTAAATTTTTCACACAATAAAAAACATATAAACGTTATGTATAAATAAACTATATGCAAAAAAGTCGTAACGGAGTCATTGGATCCTATTCATAATATGGAATGTAGCTGGTAGATGTGAGAATGTCACTTAGTCAAGAGAAGTTTTTTAACAACACTTGTCTTTAAATTGGAGGCGGAGATCTGTGAAAGTAAGAATAGGGGACCTCGAAATTAATGCCCCCAAAGCTGTTGAAACTGTCCTGGTTTCGATGACATATTTTGAAGGAGGGACAGCATTGCCATTCGTTTCTGAGTCAGATTGCGATAGACTCTCTTCGCGTCTGTTTCAAACAACTGATATTGTACATGGAAATCTGCTCTACAGTTGTAACGTCTAATTCGTTGAACCCATGCTTGGATTTTCTCTTTTAGCTTCTCAGCTTCAGTTAGCCTTATTGTGTCATTTTCAATTTGGTATGTTTGTTCAACATGGAGTATTTAGAACTTTAGAGGCATGCGTTGATTTAGAAGATGCCTCGGCTAATAGCGATATTTCACCCCGTGTCGGCTATTTGTTTCATAATTATTTCCGCCCATGGGGGTACGGAAGTGTTTCCTCTGCGTGGATGTCGGGCGCCGCTGTTCTTGGCTGTCGTGGGATGGTCAGATATCGACACGGTGACATTAGCTCGGTTTTTGAGCAGATATTGGTAGAACAAGACACGTTAATATTCATTACATGTCTTGTTCTCTCCATTTTGCTCGTTGGTTTTAAGAGAAATTTCGCAAAAAGGAAATTCGAGTTCTTATATCACACTTAATCCCTGGGCTATTTCCTGTTTACAGCGGCCCTGCTGGGGCTAGAATTTCACTGACTGCTGAAGGAAGCCTCCTTCGCTGGGGCTCCAATCTCTGTGCCAACCTGAGCACCCTCCTGGGCTGATAACAGAAAATGCAAAGGTTCATACTTTTCCCTCTTTATTTATTACCCCCTGGGGATGCAGCCGCTCCTAACATGGAGACAGACGCTGTTTGCAGCCGCCCACTGCGAGTCAGGCGCTGCGGTTATGTTCCAGTTGCCTCTTCCGCCATCATCATCAATCGTCCTTTCTTCTTCGAAGATGTTGAAGCTCTCTTGAAGCCTTGGGGTATGGAAGATGAAATTATGATGATAATGAGAGGTCGACACCCGTACTCATACACCCGGCGGGACTCGAACCCACGATCTTCTAGATCCAGTTTCGGATCTTCTAGTTCGAAACCACTACGCCACTACTACTGGAGTACTTCTTTCACTTCACCCTTCCCCATCAAACTATTCAGCAAACCCAACCATGTAGGTTGTTGTCTGTCGTGGGATGGTCAGATATCGACACGGTGACATTAGCATAGCACGGTGGCATTGTCTCATGGGGATAGTCAAGCTCCACCACCAACTACAATGTAGCACAAGGTCGCGCACTCCCTAGGAGTTTTTTTTTGCTAGCGAATCGGCCGACTAGGACCACGCACGCATATCATTATCGCGGTGGCAGGTGCATGTAACTTGGGGGGTAACTTATTGGGGACCAGCATTTCGCTTCCAATTTTTATTCCGCAGGGTTGTTAGCCCTTGGGATATGGAAGATGAAATGATGATGATAATGAGGGGTGAAAGGACGACACACTCATACAGACATACACAAAGTAACCATGCGGGACTCAAGCACGATCTTCTAGTCGCGAAACCATCTACGCCTAGCGAGTCGTCGGCCAACTTGATCGCATTATTATTATTATTATGTATTATTATTATTTTATGATATTATTGATTATTATTATTATTATTGATTATTATGTGATTATTATTGATATTTATATTATTTATTATTATTATGTATTAGTATTATTAGTATAGTATTATTATTATTTTTGATTTATTATTATTATTATATATTATTATTATTATTATTATTAATTTTGTAAATAAATGTACTTGAGATAAAATCTGGTCGTGGTGTGCATCATTATCATTGACGTTAATGTGCATCAGTGCCATCAACTGTATTTAAATAATCAACTGGTCATTCTTGCAATATAATGGACTGGAAATGTCTGCTGATGTGTGTTTTTAGCGTTGGCACTATTGGTATAGTTATTACCATAAACAAGACTTGCTCCCGATTGGTCTGTGAGTGGCGACTTTCATGTGTTTTGCGAACTGTCAAAGGTGTCAGGCTTGTGAGATTTGCTTTAAAACGTGTGAAGTGTGAATTGCTGACGTTCAAGTTGTGTATGTGGCGTTATTATGAGGTTCGCTAAGAATTATTTCGCGAAGAAGGTAGCCGCTAGTGATGTGTTAAAACCCAGTATGTTGTGAAGACAGAATTAATAATAGTATTTTTTGTTGTAAGTGGGGTCTGTGTGAAAAAGCTTTACTTGTGCAACTTGACGTGCGCGTGTGTACACATTTTGACTATTTTAAATGCAGCAATGGCCCCAACTATGCTTAGATTTTTCTTTTTACATTGCCGACAAAATACGTACTTCATTATAGGTTTATGTATTGGTATTTGTGCAAGTCTTCTCCTTACTCCAATGCTGGAAAATGAATGCATATTCATTAAGTACCAAGATTCTGGTTCTAAATCCGTTGGAAATGATCCTATATCCAACTTTTTTGATAATGAATATGATCCTGTTATTAACCTTGCTGGGAAGCCTCAGAAAGCATTAAAGACTCCGCAGACATTGCTAAGACCACGTTACTATTCTACAGAACTGGGTATTCGTGAAAGATTATTTATTGGTATATTGACATCACAGAAAAAGAATATGGTTGAGAGTAGAGCAGTAAGCATTAACAAGACCATATCGCATATTGTAGATAAAGTTATGTACTTTTTAGATGCCCCTGGTCCCCAAAAGCTCAATACTTCAATGCCTGGAATTGTAGGATTTACTGACTCTCGAAAAATATTGAAACCATTTCACATGTTAAAATATATAATTGACAATCATTTAGATGATTACAACTTCTTCTTTTTTATAAAAGATTCAGCTTACATTAAAGCTCAGCATTTATATAATTTAGTGCAAGATATCAGTGTTAGTCAAGATGTTCACGCTGGCAGTGGAAGAATTGATGAACATAGTGCCTTTTGTTCATTAGGTATTATCTTCTGCTCTGTGTTGTTTTTTATTTTCTGCTTCTATATCTATTAGGTATTTAATTATTTCTCATTGCAGATGCTGGACTTCTCTTGAGCAATTCTGTTTTGCGTAAAGTATCTGAAAATTTAGATTGGTGTGTTAAAAATGCCTTTTCGGATTTGGATGACGCAAATGTTGGGCGATGTATTGTTCATGCCACTAACATAGCATGTCAAGAATCTGTGCAGGTAATTTTGGATCTTTTATTTCATGGTTTCTCTATTCTTATTTCATCTTTATATATTGATTTCTTGTTCCTTTTATATGAGACGATCTAACTAGTGTAGATTTTTATTAATTTTTTATTTACTCTTTTCATTCAGGCATAGCCCAAATGAAAAACGTCTAAATAAAGACTTGTTAAATCCTGAATAAAAAAATGTTAATAAAAGATTTACTAAAAATTTTGACTTGTCTAATTTTCCCAAATACAAAGGAACCATAAATCAATAAATAAATAGTAACAAATAAGACATTGTTTAAACATTAAATTTATTTCATCTGTTCACTATTTATATTCCTTTGACTTATTGTTGTTCCAGGGACAGCATCTGAAGAGTTTTACTTTACCGGATAGTTTTAAGTTTGAGGATGACATCAGTACATTTTCCCAAGAACCTGCATTTCAAACAGCATTGACTATATATCCTGTTAGTGATCCAGTGACAATGTACAAAATCCATATGTATCTTTCTAAAGTAAGTTTAAGAGCACTGAGTTTACCTTTTCTGTGTCAGATTAAGTGTATTGTACCAGTTTGTCAAGTAATGTACTCAGATTATTAAATGGAATGATAAATAGATTCCTAAAAGGTGGCATATTACATGATTTATTTAATATTGAAAATGTAGGTAAACTATATTTGTTATAAAAATTTTAGCTTTTTTTCATATTAAATGAATTTTAAGGGAATAATGACAGTGAATGAGTGGATTATAATGGTTATAGTGAAAATTTTAAAGTATTATTGCCATTATTTTTAGTCCCTGCTCACTTATCAAGGTTTTAATAACTTTTTAGGTTTAGCATAACACTTTTATTTCTTGACTATTCGTTTCTTACAAATTAATACTTTACATATATGTTTTGGAAAAGATTTTGAAGGTTTACATTTTAATTTGCAATTTCGGTTTCATTCTGCTTAGGTTGCGTTAGTTGAAGTTAAAAGAAGCATTTCTCATTTGCGCCGATCCATTACAAATACATCAATGATTGCACCAGTTCCAGTAGAAACAGTTGCAGCAAAATGGCCCATTGGTAATCAAGGTGGTAACATTCCAGCTACACGTTTTGATGTTTTACAATGGAACTACCTTTCAGAAAAAGAATTTTATTTAAACTCTGATTTTAGTAATGTAAAGCAGATGAATGGAGCAGATAAGTTGGATATAGCTGTAAGTTTTCATGTATTTAATCATCAGAAAATAAAAGAAAATACAAAATCCTCTCTTTGAAATAATATTGAAATATTCATTTGCAGTACATTTTGAATGCCACAATTTTGAAAGTGGAATCTAGTGATGAGCAACTTAAATTTCGAAGACTTATTGATGGGTACAGGCGATTTGATCCATCTAGAGGAATAGATTATATTTTGGAATTGGCTTTCAAAGATTTATCAACAGGGCATGAAGTTCATAAAAGGTGATGTACGTTTTAAAATAAGAATTTTCATCAATGTATATTATTTTGTCATTATAGATTTGTATGGAATATGCTTTCTACTAAAGTTATGTTAATCAAAACATTGTGGGATTAATGTTTTGCTTTTGAATTCTGTTGTGCTGTATTTTTCATAACAATTCTTTTCCTTCTTTAGTCTCTTTGTTTTCTTCTTTATAAAGTATTTAGCATTTGGTTTAGACTTCAAGTATGCAGACCACTGGGAAAAGTTGAAGTAGTACCAATGCCGTATGTAACTGAAAATAATCGCATTAATTTAGTACTACCTGTGAATGCCAAGAATAGAGAACAAACAAAACATTTCATTGAGCAGTACACTCACATCTGCATGGAAACAAGAGACAAAACATTACTTATGTTGGTGAGTTTCAAAGTATTATTGGAAATACATGTATTAAGAGAGTCTTCTTGAAAAAGAATGAAATGCTTCAGAGTTGTAAGAGTACCAATTGAAATTGTGGATTACATTGCAGTGCTGCAAGTGGGTCATAATTTCCTTTTTAGTCATATTTGAAATTTCTGTCAGTTTTTGTAAATATGGCATATTTCTTGTATTTTTTAAGACACGTAATTTAAGTTTTCAAATTACAATTAGCAAAAATTAATTTCTACAAGAATTATTTCATCAGTACTTCACAATTATAAATATAGTAAACATCGATTCAATTTTATTTCAGCTATTTCTAAAATGATTTGGCTGCCAGAAACAATTTGTCTCTATTTTGCCTTTGCATGTTTCGGCCTGGTTGATTTCTGCCAGAACATATTGTAAATATAGATGTGGCACAATCAGTTTATGCATTGCTACACACAAGATCGCTTGACCACTTAAAAAGTCACATACTGCAATGTAAATACAAACTCTGTTGCAACATTATGTTTACTTTTTAGTAAAGAAAATAAACTACTGCAATAAGATGGGTTCATCTAAAAATTTCAGAGAAATTTTACAAATTCAAATAACCATAAAGTCCACAATTTTCATCCAAAACAAATTATTATTGCTTTGTTTTCCATAGTGAAAGGAGTGTCTACATTATAATGGTTTTAAAATGAATGATTGCCCTCTGCACTCCCATGCTCTCATGAAATATAAGTGTTTTTATCTTAAAAAAAGTGTTTGAATTTCAAAGCTTACTATAGACTTGTATTTCACCAAATTCTATAAAAATGTTGACTAGTGTCACTTCAACACCATACACGTTCTTGCATTATTTGCAGTTGTTACTCATAATAATACATAAACCTGCAGAAGTGTATCCAACCAGTAAAAACCTTTCTCTGTGCTGGGATTTGAACTCGCACATTCCTCATGATTTACAGATCAGTGGTTTTTGTCAAAAATTACTTACTCAAGGGTGGATGCATATTTTCAGTCAGGTGAGATCATGCAGCGCTCTCTGTGCTAATGCACGCTTGTGTTGTTACAATATCCCTTAGGCAAGAGTAGCAAAAAATCAAATTTACTCAAAAAAATGCTTATCTAAAATATAACCATATGTATATCATTGGATTCTTCTTTTTACGTTCATAATGGCAGACAAAAAAATATGTATAGTTCCATTTGAAAAAAAAACAAAGTTATCACAATATCTCAAAATATGTTATAAAATGGAAGTGAATAGATACATCAATTACCTCATTCATTCCCTCATGCACATCCACTGCATTGCAATAACTTCAACCATTCCAAAATTACAGGAGGTGCTAAAGTTTCATGACTCACCCTGTGTATACTTTATTTTACAAAGCATTGCCAGATGAAATTATATGATTAAAATAAATACAAAGTGCCAAGTAAAATATTTTTTGCTGTCCAACTGCTTCTATAAAATTAGATACTATTCTGAGCATCAAAATGGAAAGTAATATTGATTTTAGCAATGATATTTATTGTATTAGTTACCATTTGTACTGAATAATTCTGAAAGTAACAATTGTTGTACCCTGTAACAAGTATTATACCTCAGCTTCTGGGTCAGAGACCTCCATCTTGGTCAAGGTTTTTGTCCTGAATTTGTGATCCTTAGAGCAAATGCTGAAATGGCCCCTTGGTTTGTCTTCACTCTCTGTAAACATTTAGAGCTCAGTAGGAAATATAATTATTTGAATAATAATTCTCTGTGTTAACTGCATAACATCCCAAGTCGTTTTGACATTGAACATGGAGTAATTTTCCTTTATCTTAAGTCAAGCCCTTAGTCATTGCCTTTTATCCCTGTTGGCTGGCACCTTAGTGCCGTCTGTATCCGGGATTCCTAGATATTCTCCCATTTGGGGACCCATAGTGTTTCAAGGATTTCGGCTATCTCCACAGGCAGTTCTTGAAGCTGTTAATTGATTCCTTCATGAAGGGAATGATGTGAGATAATAGCCAAAATCTACAGATTTGCCTTTGCAAATAGTTTTTATTACATGAGAGGTATTTTTTCTGATGAATTATTACCAAAAATGTTTGTTTCTACCTGTATTCATAAAGTAACTTGAATATTTGAGTAATGGAGGGATCCCAGAACTCAAGAAAACGTACACAGAATTCCCTTCTCTCCATAGTTCATCACATACAGTTGTTTTTATATATACTTTGTTTTTGACTTTTGGTGTAATTTACATTTGGTGTAATATCCCTGAGAATCACTTTATCTATTGTTCAGACTTTATATTTAAAAAATTACATGAATAGGGAAAAGAGAATCAGTATGGATTTTTGTGTATCTCCTTTTGTGTCATCTTGCAATACTGCCATTGCCTTAAGTTTTCTTTTATGAATCAGACATTTATAAAACAGTATTATTTAATGCACACTTTTCTTCATTTAATACAGATATTTATTAGTGTAATTCTTGCCATAGTTGTATTTGTCAGACAGCTACATCAACAAAAACACCATACACATGATTAAGCATTTATTTTAAATAATTTTTCAGTCAACATTATAAAAGTGAACACTGATACTTTCAGAAATCGAGGAATCAGTAATAGTCTACTTCATAACTATTTTCAAATCGGTAGACTCTACTGAAAACAAACATGGTAAAGTGTACCATGGCAATGAATACATTTCAGTTATAATAAGATAAATACCTGTATACTGTGTGATAATCACACACCTGAGGTTAAGAATGAAGTGAACTTCATATCTTTTCATTACTGCATTCTTATGAGTATTTATTAAAATATTAGCAATTTGGTTCATGAATATTAATAAGCAGGAAATATCTTTTCTATTCTCATTTCTACTAATGAGAAAAATAGCATTTAAAAATTAATTTGAGAATATTTGTATATTTTTTAATGAATTGTCATATTTTAATTTTTAGATTTTGCTGTATGACCCTACTGTGCCTGGCAAAGGTAACAAAGATGACATTTTCCTTGAAATTAAACAAACTGCCTTGGTTCTAAGTGACAGATATAAAAAAGAAGGAAGTAAAATTGCTTGGGTTTCTGTTAAACTCCCAGATGTATCTGTTGATAATTCATTATTGAACTTTGCTATTACTGATTTGGTTCTTAAGAAATTTCCACCAGATTCTCTTATTCTGATGTGCCAATCAAGCATGGAAGTGCGCCACGAATTTTTGAACAGGGTTTGTATCTGAGTGAAAAATGCAGTTGTTTAATACAAGTTGCCTGGTAATGATTAGTTTTATCATTCCATTTTTGTTTTTAGGTGCGGATGAATACAATTCTAAATTGGCAAGTGTTTAGTCCAATACCATTTACAGAATTTCATCCAGATGTTGTGTACACAAATACTTTCGTCCAACCACCAACTTTTCTAGACATCAATAAAAATTATGGGCATTATGATTCAAATCAGAAAGACTACATTGCCTTTTATGCAAAAGATTATTCATTGGGTATGTTTTTTGTTTCTTTTTATTTGAATTTTAAAGAAAATATTAAAAATAGTCGTTCTTATGTGTCTTCTAATGAATTCATTAAAGTATTTTTGTAATATAATAATGTTACTGTTTTAGCTCGCAAGACTGTAGAAAATATCATTCCAATTATTCGAAGTGATCATGATATTAGCATGTTAACTTCAAAGCATACTGACTCAAAATCATTTCAAGAATCTTGTCCATTAAATAGCATCTATTCAATGTTTGTATGCTATGGTAAAATTCATGTTCTGCGTGCGGTTGAGCCTGGACTTCGTTTAAGGTATCAAGAAAGAGATTGCCCTTCGACTGTTGATTCTTCTGTGTATCAAAAGTGTATTGAGGAACGAGCTTTCAACTTAGGCTTCAGAAATCAGCTTGCTCGACTAATTTTAGAGTATAAAAAAACCCATTTGCTCTAAATGTCATATTGTATTGAAGTTGAAATATCATATGTTAATAATATATTTTTTAAATATACTTTATTTTCATAGTCATATTATTGAACATGAATGTTCGTGAATATTAAGCAGAAATAGCCTAAGTCTAAAATCTTTTTTTTTTTTTTATTTATGTGTAGTGATGATTCGAGAAGTTTACCTCAAAACTGGATAAATATTTTGAACTTATGGTTGATTTTTTGTACACGTTAGAAAGCTGACAATAATCCATACATACTAATGTGTAAAAACTGAACTTTTTTGGATTTAGGCTAATTCAGAGAGCAGTGTTCTGCAAAACATGTTGCAATTTCTTATTTATTTTTGTGCCATACCAAAGTCCTACGCAGTATAAATGAGATGATTATATGCTTTGATTGTTATAGTTATTGCTATATTTGTGTACCGCATAACAAGAATACAATATTTTAAATGTTATTTTTCAGTATTTTTTGTCCTTACTCTATAACCTGACAAGAAAACTGAAAATGAACACTAAACCAGTGGTGCTGCAACATAGCACACCATTTCTTGTATTATTTGTACCGGTTATGTAAAAGTATTTAGTTAATTTTAGTAGTTTTTAATAGTAAATGTATATAATTTTGTGCCATTTTTGAGAAAAAAGTTTGAAAATACAGTATGAACGTGAAGTTAAAACTGTGGTATGAAGTTGAACAAGATCCTCCTAAAAATATCAATTTCAGAAAAAAATCCTTTGCACTAGACACTATTATTTTTAATAGGAGCACAGACACGAGACATACTTTTGAGAGAGAGAAAAATGTGAGATAGAGAAGAAACCACTATTTTAGGGTCAAGAACCCCCAAAAAGTGCATTTCAATCAAAATCTCAAGTTAAGTTTTTTGCTTTGTCATATAACTTTCTCTGTTCTTCATATACGAGAAAATAAACGAGATATTTTTACTTCAAAAAAACATACAGTATCTAATCTTTTCCTGCTTCTCACTTCTATTCTTTGTCTTCCCTGTTCTTATTTCTTTCTCCATATTTCTTCTTTTTCATGTAGTGTTACAAATCCTACACCACAGGCCTTCACCATTCTCATGGCCTATACCATTGCCACTCCTTCCTACAAAGTACTTCTAGTTTTTCCTCATCTTCTGTCTGCCGGCTACTCTACCTGAATTGCTACGCTCTGTGAAGTCACAGAGGTTAAGTAACTCGAGACACTGCAGATTCCTGGGTAGATGATCATTTGGTAATGCTGGGGAACTAACAGCACTGTACCCCTGACTAAGGGATTAAAAGCAATGACTGACTTGAATAAGGATTTCTTCACAGTTCTGTTCGATGCCAGTAAACAGCGTATAGGACATTCTTAGGGGAAAAACCTAATAGAACTTAAAAACAAGTTATTTCCACAACTGTAAGTTTATTTTCATTACTTAAGATATTTCTGAAATATTAGACCAATATGCAATTCTTTCACTCAGCAAAAACTTTATCACCTGCATAACTAAGCGAATACAGAATGGAATATCAGGTTTTCACATCAAATTGCAACGTTTTTCTCCTTCAGCTTTTTAATGCTTCCATTAAATATAATTTCAACAGAGGTGGAGCTATGCAACACCCTTGTTGAAATCATTTATCTACAGGAAAAGATTGAGAAACATTTCTTTTACTTTTAATTTGACTTTTCTATTGTAAAGGTCTTTATCAACTAATTGTAGTCACATTTTCATGTTGTGTTTATCAATGATCATCCAGTATAATTAATGGAGCAGTTTCATTTGCTTTTCTTAAATGTATAAATATTAAGGGATTTTCTAAATATGGGGCAAAACATTTCTTTGATATGGAAAATATTATTCGTGTATGAGCATCCATCTCTAAAGTCACTCCATTCTTCCACATCTATAAGATATCTTTCCAGACAAAATTTAAAAATCTTTCCATATTCTCAACCTATACTGCTGAGCACAGTTATATATCCAAAATTTCCATTATTTTCAATCACCTTTTCTGAATGTGCTAGGAACACCTCTTAAGTCTTCTGGTAGCACCTTTCCTATGAATTGTAAAAGTTTGCAGTTAATTTCAAAACTTACACGAGTACTGTTTTTAACAGCATTATGTTCACAAACCCAAGAGGTCAGAGACTTTCCATTTTTAATGTTCTATGGATTAATCTCATTTACTGTAATATCTTCCAGATCATTCTCTCTCTCCCAAGTCAAGGTCTTTGCTGAATTCTGTTCTATGTTCTTTCATAAATTCTTGATAGTATTCTTTCCATTATTGTTGACTTAAAAGTTGTAAAGGATGAACTTGCTTTTTCATTTGTTCCTCGATTCTTTAAAAGTTTCCAAGACTGTTTACTTTCTCATAACTTACTACTTAGTAAGTGAAAAAATGTAATGCTGCAGGAAAAAGTACCAATTTTTTAACAGAAAAGCATAGTTTTCTTGGTCCTTGATACCAAAAAAAAGTGGAATTTTCTTACTCTTGTACATAGAAGTCCTATAGTCGAAATGCACGTATCTTGATACCAAAAAAGTGTTTTTTTCCCCTCAAGATGTATGTACCTCTGTGATCTTTCACCAAAACCGATATTCCCCAATCAATGCAATTTATGTCACTTGATCTTTCAATTTTTGTGGAACTTTACACAAAACCATAAAACATTTTCAAAGTTCAATATTTTATTCTTTTTCCCCCCCAAAATATATACTTTTATAAAAATGACATGTTTGATTTTCAGTAAATTTTTCGGTGCTCTCTTATAATAGCATTTTTGAATTGTCAATTAGAATTTTTCTTCATAAAATATATTCATCAAAATTAGAACTTTAAATAACATCAAGTATAGTTCTTTGAAAACAAGAAGTTTTTGTCTAATTTTGAGTGAAAACAACCAGAAAACACCAAAAAAGCAGACAAGTTCTACTTCAATTTTTTTTTTTAATTTTTGCCTAAATAGGGCAAAGTTTGCTTAATGACATGGCACATGTCCAACTATCATTCAAACCTATGGAATTTTGAAAATTGCAAGGGTTTGTCTTTTCAAACCTGTTTTTACGCTATGAATTGTAAGATAAAGATATTTCTTAATACAATCTATTTCTCAATATTAGATTTTGACATTATTTCTAATACACTTCTTTCAAAATATTGTCACATAATTTTGAGTTATTACCTGAACAATAAGAATTCAAAGTATCAAAAATTGAGTTATTCTATCACTTGGGTATATACCATTGGTGTAAATCACTTGGTCTGTCATACATGGGTTTGAAAACCCATCCTGATAAGTATTTTATTTTTTTTCTTTTGGCTTTTTCAGTATAGAGTATAAATAACTGAATTCAATGGCTGAAAGCCATTTTCAATTACACTCTTGAAAATAAATAAATAGTTTATGTATTTTCAGGACCTCTTGTGCTTCAATTCATTAGGAACATTTCCAAGTGATGACTGTAGTATGCTGTTGTAGCGCCACTAGTTGCTTGAAAATTGATCAATTTCTTTATATTTTGTGCCCAAGCTGCATCCTTTGCTTTTATAATTTCCAAACGAGATTAAAAAATAAAAGCGGAAACAGGTCAATCATTTCTTTGAATCCAGTTCATTGGATTCCATTCATTTGGATTACAGAATAAATGGACTGAGTACAAGATGAAACCTTTTAAAATTAACTTACACAAAGAAGAAAAAAGTGATAGGTGAACTGCATTAAGAAACATAAGGACATTTGAAAAAATAGTCTCTATAAAACAAAATACATTCACTTAGTATTAAAGTTTGTGAATTTGCAGAACTTATAATGTATTATACTTGCGTTTTCTGTTTGTTTTTTTACAAAATGTGTAATTTATTTAATCATATACATTTACATCAGAGTGAGTCATAAGCTTGCCAAAGAATGTTCTGAAGCAATGGGGCTTGTAACCATCATTGACTGGATATTAATTTTCAGAGACCAAAACCAATAATGGTTTTGATGCCTATTTATTAGAAACTAATTCTCGAATTTGTTGAGTCAGCCATTCAACTCCTTCCTGTAGTCCTTCACCTGTGAGAGCATTACTTGCACATATATGCCATGGCTTGTCCAAAATTCGTTCCAACCCGAGGGCAGCTGCAATTTTTACACTTGATAGTGCTTCTCTTATGTCCATCTTGTTTGCAAAAAATAAAATCGGGATTCGGCGGCCAGTTACATCTGGATGTTGCAGTAACAGATCTAATTCATCACGTACCACTACTAAACGTAATCTATCACTACTGTCCACAACAAATATAATTCCTTGACATTCTTTATAGTAGTGTTCCCAAAGATCTCGGTATCTTCCTTGTCCAGACATGTCAAACGCTGTGAAACCAACATTCTTATCTGAAAATAGAACAAGTAAAATTTTAGATACAGTAATGGAACGGTACGAAACTAACTGCTGACATAACTTGTATAAGCTCCCTTGTTCATTGTCAATTATGCAGACTGTTTAGAAATGAAAGTTATTTCCATACACAATTCCAGTTCTGACACTTTTAGTGGAGTTCTTTTTTTTTATTAGAATTTAGTGTACTTTTTTTATTATGTCAATTAGTTTAGGATCTTCAAAACTATTTATCGTGCAATGTAATGATTATAAAAATATTTCAGGATAATACAGGTTATTTATTTCAGCACATCTTACACAAAATGTATTTGTCTTTAGTTTGTTTGATATTATAATACTCGCTTACTCCAGAGTTACCAGAGATGAAAGAAGATAAAGGAAGTGAAAAATAGATTCAAATGAATATGAATAAAATTTCTGAACACGTTACCAAAGTACTCATGCTTTACTCCAAAGATCAGTCTTGGAGCAGCTTTCAAGAGTTTTCAAATATCCTTGCAGACTTTATGATTTTAGGGAGAAACGAAACTTAAATCCAGAATGTATAGAGTTGTTATTGAATGTATAGAACTGTCATCATGAGAGATTCCACAACTGACATTTAATAGATGAAATGATAACATAATTCTCAGATTTTCTTGTTTACTTCATCACAATTTTTGTTATACAATAATTCTTCCAAACATCATCAAAACCATTTTCATTAGTTAAATGAAATGAAGTAATAAATCCATATTTGCTTAGCTTGAAAATTAAGTTTATATCAAAAACAAATAATTTTATATATTAGTCTTATCCTATTTATAATAGTGTGCAAAAAATACAAATACAATTTTGAGATATAATAGTACACTGAGAACGTAAATTGTTTAATACTGAAGTTACGGAAATAAGAATGGACTGCAGAATTTACAATTTGTTCCATTTTTTGCCATTATGAAATTTATTCTCAATGGTTGTAAAATTGTTTCAAAAAAGACATAAATTCGGAGAAAAAGAGAGATGCAAATGTTAGTTTGTTTCAATTCAGTATTTAAGTGCACTACTATACATGCTTGTGCAAAGTAGAGAAACGAGTAATAAAACTACATTACTAAGGCTTGAAATGCAATTGCTCTTCTTAAGGCAGAACACCCACTTTACCATTTTTTTTAATTGTAAGTAATTCACATAGTTAAATTTTTTCCATATGACTAGATTCAATTAATTCAATCATTAATTAACTAATAGGCCTACATTATTACATATAAAAAGTTCCCGTTGTTTTCTAATATAAAGAAAAAACCTTTATAAGAATAGTTCAATCATGAATCATCTGGAGATACAGTTACATTAAAAAGGTGTTCAAATCACCTCAAAAAACACAAGAGAATTATTTTAAGATGTGTCAATTGAAACAGTGCACTACCTCAAGGGTTGTAAATATCACTTGTGATACAAGTGCCTATTTCAGCATTAGCTGTGCAACTTTTGCAAATGTTGTGTTCATGTATCAAAAATGAATCATACAAATTATTTAACTTACTTCTGAATTTTTCAACATTGAATCCCACAGTTGCTACAATTTCAGTCGATCTCTCTTCCTCACTTTTGAAGTGGTTAATAACTGTGCTTTTTCCACTGTTATTAAGTCCTACAACAAGAACATTTACCTCTCTCTTTTTAAGCCCAAGTAATCGTGTTAATTTGTCCCAAATACCCATTGATCAATTATTTTTTTAAATTCTGAAATGATAAAGAAAAAAAATTGGTTATTCACTTAATGCAATACTAAAATACATTGTTTCTAATTCGGTTGCTCGTGGTTAAATTAGTATAAAATTAATAGTATATCTCAAGATCAAACACAGTATTCAATAAATGACTCGGAACATTGGGCAATTCACATCTATTCACTGCAACACGTTATACGCTTTATCTCAATTTCCCTCATAAGTTCGCATTAACAGTCATGGAAGCATTACACAAATTAAATAACCATCCCTTCAACCCGATACATTTCTTAAAGACATTATGGTGGACTTCCAAATGAACTCACATTCTTCCGTATTATAGTATTCCTCGAAAGAATGGTGGTGGAAACATACGACACGCTGCGTGGTTGCCATGACAACCGACTTTGAAACGATCGTTTTCCCGCTCCCAAGGTTTTAGTATTATATTTCATGCCTCAACGAGATTAGTATTCAGTTAGTGCCGTGGATGAATACTGTGTTAATCTATTTGGCACTTGTGAAGCGATTCGTATTCCGAACACTGATCTTAATGTTGAAATATTTAGAAGTAATGTAATACATAAAGATCTGCGATTCCGAGCATTCACAAAAGAACAGGAAATAAACACCGTGTAAAATAAATATCCATGAAGAGAAAGGAATGGGTGAATGTTTTCAGCTCCACAAAGTATTCCCAGTGATGTAGAGAATGAAAACGATAAACGTATGAAAATTCAGAATCCATATTTAATATTATATTAACTTAATTAAGAGACTAACGAAATATAAAATCTCAACTTCCGCCATGTTTATATTTTATAGAAAATATGCAATTCTCATGTAGCGGAACTTTTACATCGGGACATTTTCAAGAACTATTAGATTTTTTAAATTAATTTTTTGCCTTCATAGGTATCATAATACTGTAAATTCTGTCTGAACCGAAACCTGTCCAAGCTGGAACCCTGCCTTAACCGGAAAATTTCTTTAGCCCGTGAAGTTAAATGGCATTTTACACAGCATAAAACGGAACCTTTCCAACGCGGAAACTGATCAGGTTTTCATGTACTTCATGAAATCTTTATAAAACGGAATTCCTGTGAATTAAATGCAATTGGCAGAGAGATGCGATTGATGTCAATGAAATGAATTTATCTAACAGCTTGTTTTAAATTCTCTGTCTTTCTGACACGTGATTTAGTCGTGACAACTGGACATTAAAGGAGAGGGGCTTCAGCTATCAGCGTAGAATTCGACATCGGGATCGCTTGTCACTCAAAGCGTATGCCGTAGGAGCATTCCCTCTCTCTCGACTGAGCGTGGGAAGGTGTTCGGACATGGCTTCTATTCACGCATCCTCCTGCCCCGCGATCAGATAGGTATTGCTCAAGGCCAAGCGATGGTATCAGAAAGTCATAATACTGGGATTGTGACACATTGTGCGTTCAAAAGTCAGCAAGCATTAAGCCAGTAAGGTGTGAACTTTTCAACTAAAAAGCTATCAATGAAGTGTTTAATTTCAAGTCCAAATTTCAAATCAAGTCAAGTTTTTGGTGTAACCAAAACTACTCATTTTTTTAAGAAACTGTACATGACCTTTTTTAGAGATGATCTTTTGGAACAGACTATCTGAGGCAAAAATCTCTATCTTCAATTTTGTAACTATGAATTGTTAACTTTTTGCAAGTTTCGAAAATAGGACTAGTGTCATTTGTTTTACCGTCCCTTGATACATACGAGGGGAAAATTTAAAGAAAAAATTTGGTGCCGTTTTAGAGAAAAAAAATTGATTGTATTTCGCGCAAAATGATGCGAAAATATTCATATTTGTTAAAAAATTGTACATGGTCGTATTTTAAAATGTCTTTAAGGAATAGATTTTATTGAGGAAAAATAATTTTATCTTCGATATTATAGTTGTAGGAAGACGACCCAAAAATATTGCACTTTCACAATTTTCGAAAAATCAGGGATTTTAACGAACACAAACCTGCACCATTAGGCGTCTTTTACGTTAACCGAGGAGGACCGGGAGAGGTGGCTCAGGGCATCACCTGATGTCACTGCAGTGCCTCTGACCGGGAGGTTAGAGGTTCTAGAAGGTCCTAAGTACGAGTACCAACGGTGGAAGGATTTTCGACTCTACTTTGTCAGCTAGGTCGAATTAGGCCGCTGTCTGCACGAGAATTCTAGCAGCCAGCTGCTCTGATCGGTAGTTTTCCGTGTTTTTTCCACAGCAGTACGCTAACAAATGGGCTACGGATCGTGCGCGATCTTTCCATCCTCTTCCTTGTTCTATCCTCATCCCTTGCTTACACACACACTTACATACATTATACTATCACTTATGCCGGGAGACCGGTCGGTATCTTAGAGCTTGTCCCGACTGGGGCTGTGCCCCGCTGATTGGAAATACCTGGTTTGGGGAAAATCACGTTAGGCGACAGTAGGTCGACGCCGGATCTCACAACTCAGCAGGGTGAAGAACACAGCTACCTCTCGAGAAAAACACATGCACTACACTTATGGGTCTAATGACCTTATCAGTTGATGGACCCGGAATCACCAATCAATCAATCAAAATGTTATCTGGGCTTTAGTAAAAAAATGATGACCTTTTTAAAAAATTGAAAATGTTTTTGAGGCTCCAAATAATGTACCCTAAAAAACTTCCAAAGCCTCGAGCACGTTCTGATCGATCCGGGAAAATCGATTTTGGAGAAAATCGGCTGAACGGTTTTGGCGCTAGCGTCGGGCAGAAAGATGTTTTGCCGTAAAATCGATTTTCCGGTATCAAGGAATTCCACAAAACATAAATTCTGACTACACCACGAGATAGAGGAAGTAATTTACTACCTAATATATAACGAGGATTTATCCGCTTTTTCGTTACCAAGGCCCGGCAATAAGAGTTTTTCTGCCGAAAATTCGCCGTTTTCCGTCTAACGATTACATAACTTCCTCTTCTTACGAAGTATGAGCGAGAAAGTAAATAGATATTTCGTTATTTCTATGAAAAGTCGCAATTTCAGAGAGTTCAACGAAAATTAGACCTGTGACATTTCTTAAGAGTATTTTGCTCTATCCACGGAAAAATTAAAGAAAAAATTAGGAGAATTTATTTTATAAATTGCCTTAGTTTCAAGTAGAAATTACGCAGAATAGTTCGCTTTTTATAAAAAAAACTGTCGAGGACCTTCATTAAAGATCTAATTTTTAGAAGAGATTTTATTGAAAACCAAAATCTCCATCTTCAATATTGTACTTTGGCAATATTGTAGAAGTAGGAAGTCGTCAGAAAATTGTTATCTCTCGCAATTTTCGAAAAATCAGGGATTTCTAGGAAAAGGAAAACCTGCATCATTCTTTTAAACGTTCGTTACCCTCTTCAAGTACAAAATTTAATCCAAAAATTTGGAACCAGTTTTGAGAAAATTTTGAAAATGTTATTGATATTTTATATAAAGTACCCCTCCCCCAAATCATCCACAATTACAATATGAGGTAAGGGCGAGAAAGTAAAAACTAGATGTTCCAGGCGGTTGTTTGTCAGCGCGCTGGAACCATTCTTTTTGAGTGGCGATTGAATTCGATTTCGCTGACAAGCTAGTGTCGAAAATCCTGCCACCGTCGAGACTTGATCGCAGGGCCTCCTGGTCAGAGGTACAGCAGTTAATGCCCTGAGCCATCTCTCCCGGTCATTTATTAGAAAGAATGTACTATTATAGCACCACTAGCTTTTTCAACCTCAAAAACCACTTAAAACTGTGTGACGTACGGTACTATAGGGAGAAGTGCACTCTCTTGAGCTCAGGGATCTCTGCCTTAACTCACATAGTACATATTAAGTTGAATAATGAAGACAGGTAGCAAGTTCGTGTTTGACAAGAATTGGTGTGATAATATTCGCTCCCATGTAATAAAAACTATTTGCAAAGGCAAATGAGCTACAGATTATTATACCTTATCCAAGAACCCTTAGTAACGAAATCCATATTGCAAGATCTCTCCGCATAATGACGGAATCGTCTTTCTGGATACCGCGAAAACATTGAGGATTATTTGAATATCTGCATTCTCCATTGAGAAAACAGTCACAGGTAGAGAAGCTACATTAGGATGCCCAAATGCAAAATTAGGGACCATCCCAGAGTATATTCAAAGAATCTGGGAAACGACGAAAAACCTGATGGAGATGGGGATTCTTTTCCGGGCTCTGGTGTATTTATTATAATCTCCGGGTTCAAATAATTCTCAAAGTTTTTATATTATTGCAAATTTAAAAGATTACATCGTGAAATTTACATTGGGTAATACATTATAATGAAATAATAATGTAATTATAAAATCATTTGGTTATTCATTTCAATGTTTAATCAAAAGCGTGTTTAATAACAAAATAACGGCGAAAATGCTCTAATTTCAGGTTTTGATGGTTTCTCAAAAGTGTTTGCTACTTTTCTGAAATCTGAATCTCCAACTAATTGTCTCTAACATATTTTTTAATAACACAGACTACATAGGGTCAACTCCATAATAATAAAAAAGCTCTAATTCGCAGTATTTCAGTTTCTTACGTTTACGGCAGAGGACAAAATCAACATAGAACAATAGAAGTCTTCTAGACTATACTTTTCTTCCAAGTTAGGACGAAGATACTTCAAAATTTACGTATTCGACTTCGTAACTTATCACCTCCCGGGTCAGCAAAATCTCCAGGTGAACTCTAAAAGGTGGTCGCTCGTACGGGACTATACAAAAACTACTACAGTGCCCACTCGATTCTATAAATTAATACTCTAATATTGTTATTCTTAAAAATCATACATGTTCATAGTTCATTTAATATGACAAAAGTACGTTTTCAATTTCATTTCAAAGTTAGTGAAGTCACGTTGTACTAGTGTATAGAACTCGACATAAGTAATTAACATGAACAATGAGGATTGTGGAGATTTTTGGGGGTGAAGCAAAGAAAAAACAATGCGCAAGAAGGATTTTCGTTTTCAACATTCACATAACATTTTGATTGTTGCGGACGTTGGCAATACGCAGAAACATATCCTGTACTCCCCGATGAGACGTGTTGGACAACTACAAACAGTAACATGTTGAATGTCTCACGAAAATTTTCATTGAATATTGTTATAATTTCAGACATTGAAATGGGGTGTTTGAAAGGCTGGGCTAAAGCAAAAAGATAAGCGCGAAACAAACATGGCCCAGATGTGACTCCTGTCAAGCAAAAGCATATACTGAAGACTGCTTCGTGGTAATTCAGTTATTGTGAACATTTCATAAATATTAAAATGTTAATTTTCTCGATATAAAATTGTGTTCGTTGCCATTGGAGTATTTTGTATGTGAATGAGTGAATACCAATTTGAATGGGCGAAAGACAAAACGACTTGTGAACACTGTGAAGAGTTTTTACATTCAGCGCTTGAAGTCTCGTGGGCGGGCAAGTTGGGTGCGAAATTAAATTATTTAATTTAGCTATTTTGATGTTGAATATTATAATGAGATACTTAGAGCAGACAATGTATCACGATCATCTTAAAATGTCTTGGAGATTCGGAGAAACGCTTTCATAGAAAATGAACAGAATTGATACGTGCATAATGTAGGGCTATGAGACACAGTGGCTAATTGATGATAATTGCTGGCTAGTTGGTTTTCTTTTCCTTGATATGTGAGTTTCACTACTTCTTATGACGTAATTTGTCAAACTTCGTGTCCTGAGTGTTCTTTGTGTGTTGCCTTTCATAAGTGCTTTGTTAACCAATAAGTATATTGCTTCATTGCAAGGAAAGTTGGTTGGACCTGTTGAAATGATTCTTTTTGTGGGTGTCAGTGGCAGTGTCTTTAGCAGAGATAAGCAGTGTTTTCTTGCGATCTTAAGTATTTTAAGTTGAGTAGGAAATAGTGAATTCCATGAAAAAAATTTCTTGATGTGTATTTATCTTCTGCATGTGGTTGTTATGTCATTTAAGTTTTGTGAAGGAGGGTGTGGCAAGTAATCATAGACATAGTTCTGATAGTAACAGTGTGGTTACTTCAGTTTATTTATGGAGCTCTTTTCATTAATTGATTTATGTCAGAACATTCAGAATCATCTTTACACTATTACAATAGTTATTTTCTTCTCTTTCATGTTTTCTGATTTAATTGGCCAGTTTTCAGAATATATGCAGTTTGGCATAAACATTGGGTATTTATTTGTGTTGTAATTAAAATGTAGCATATCATCGATAGGCTAATGCTAATTTGTGTTAATGAAAAAAGCTCATTAGCCTCCATGCAATATGTTTCTATTAGATGTTCTGAGTATGTCTGAGGATGGTATAAACTATAATTCATTGTGAATTTGAGTTACGTGAAATCCATTAAATATACTATTTTTATTGTTTAGAACTTTATGCACAGTGACTGTCTCTACTGTGTCATCTTTGGAAACCAAACCAAATTCAGTGCAGTCTTCTTTAATTTTTTTTTGCTAAAAATCTTCTAACTAATCTAAAAAAGATAACAAATTTTTATTTTTACTGAAGTGAAGCTTTTTAAATAACAAAACAAATGATTGTGAAAATCATCTCCTTTGAAGTTTTTCCAAATAATTTCAAACAAGTATTTTCCAGTGTTAAGATAAATTGTTTCATAAAAATTCCACAGCTTACATGTTTGATAAGAACTTTGCAGACTACAAGCGGATTTGAGGCAGTATTGCATTACCTAGGGGTAGTGGTAGTGTTTTTCAGTCTTCTAGTGTTAGTTTAGTATTACATAATATTGATATTTATTTTTCCAATTTTTTAACTTGTGCTTAAAACATTTCCAGTCTTATACTAAACATTAAAATATTAACTAATTAATTTAAAAAATATAAATAAATTAAAGTTATGAATAATTGTTACATAACTGAAATATTTTTTCAAATTTTTTTTCTTATTGAATATGTAAGATTACAAAGAAATTTGCAAAACCGAACTATCCTAGAATACAATTAAAATAGTGTAGTAGACTCACCTGTGCATCGTCCACAATGGTACGTGCATGGCTGGTTGTCAGAAATTTTTACATTGATGATGATAATAATTATAATAATAATAATTAATAGTAATAGCTATAGTAATAATTTATTTGCTCATATTAACTCAGTAGCTCCTAAAGTAAAGAATATATAAGTATTGTAACACTGCTCTCTCTCTGCCTATATTAATTCCTTTAATTTATACGGACAAGTTTCAATTAAGAAATTTTTTAGTGCTTTTTTTAATTTATTTTTGCATAACTCCTTAATATGGTTAGGTAATTTATTGAAGAGTACTGCAGAGCTCTGATAACGGTCCTTCTTTGAGAAGGATTTTTCACTGTACATCCTGTGATAGTTTTCGTTTCCTCTTGTATTGTATTATATACATATTTGTTTTGAATAAGGTGACAGTTATTGTTTTTCATGAGTATAATTACCCTATATGCATACTTGCACTTCCTTGTGCCAAAATAGTAATTAATACTTGCATAATTAATATATTGCGGCCATTCAAATCTTCAGGGGGTAGGCACGACTTCATATTAAATCAAGAAAACATGTTGTTGATAGACAGGTGAACAATTATTTTTACCTAATTCCTTAAAATAAGTAATCAATAAAATAACAAATCATTTACTAATTACATCATTATTACATAAAAAAACTTCGATATCTCAATACAAATTTAATATATAATACTTAAAAATATTAATACCCAAAATGATAATTAACAAACTTGCAAATAATAACTGATTAAAAGCTCATATTCCCATCAGAATCGTATTATATTTAAATTATAAATCCATGCTTATCCCATTAATTATAATGGTCGTAATAAATTGAATGGTTTATTCTTCTGATTGAAATAAATACTATACATCCTTTCTTCAGTTCAAAATTGCCCTCAATCTTACTGATAAGTGCAATCAGCATCACAAGCTAATTCTGAATGTAATTATCATTGATTTTAATACAACAAATAAAATTTATAAAAATAGATTTAATGGGATATAATTTGTTTACTTTTTTGTAAATGGGGAAGGATGTTGTTGGAAGTGTTGCATGATTATTTAAGGGGTTGATACGCGCATTACAGGAGGGGAGAGGGGGTATACAAAAAACTCCAAATTTGCGTTACAGAATTTATGGGCTGTTTCAAAGTGGTGTGCTTTGAACTAGTGGTACTTTTGAATATGCTGAATATATTGGAATCAAATCGTTCCCGGAGTGGTCTATATCGACCCCCTGGGGTTGATTTGAACTTTCTTGAGGGTCAGTAGCTTCAGTTCAAAAATTGGGGATTATCAACAGCTTGAAAAAAACTAACCACTAATTTAAATTTTTATTATATTTTGTTTGTTCAATTAATTTATTGCATTTTTATTTTGTACACTTTAGAAAAAATATACTTCTTAGGTTTTGTTTTTGTGTTTTGCTTTAATTTTTTGCTAGGGTAGGTTTCAATAATAAACGTTTCAAATGATAATGCCATTTGCTGTACCATTTTAATATTCTTTCAATTATTTACTAATTAGTGAACAAAATTATTTTTATATCTATAGAAATAGAAATTTATTTTGAGTAAATTAAATAAATTACTGTGAGGGGTCGATGACTAGTAATTTTAGCTAAGGTGATCTGTGACCAAAAACAGTTTGGATAATTCTGAATTAAATAGTTTTACGCTGTCCTGAACTGAATCATATAAATATGTCAATGATTTTTCAGTGCATTAATATATTTTATCTTTCATGTCAGTGTTGTTATTACTGTCCAGATTGAAAGAAATAACAGTCTGGCATCTTTATCATTTATAGTTGAGAGTTATTAAATTGCAGGAATGACCCTTATTTTAATTTTTTTGGGGGGGGGGGGGGGAAGCATGTATTGTAAATTTTTTGCAGCAATCTTAATATTGAATCTGTCTAGTGGCAGTCTGCTTTGGTATTGTCAGGAAATGTAGGCTTTAAAAAGTTAGAGTTTGACTATTTACTGAGGCTCTTTTGATTAGAAATTGAAGATAATATAATTTATAATTTCTCATTTTCAAAAAGTTGTAAATTTTTCATTAATTCTAAATATTTTGTATGACTTTCAGGTATTGAACTTTATGCAACAACGTAGAGCAAGTGACTTGTCACAATGGATAAAGAAAAATTCAAAAGTTCCCAGAATTCGCAAGATTGGCTTGATTCTTTATCTGATGCAATGAACTTCACATTGACAGGAGAATCTGAAAATTTTTTTCAAGAAACACATGGGAGAATTAATACTGAAAGGTTTTTTCATGAAGCTCAGGAGAGAATGAATAATGAGCGAATGAATAGTGAAAAATTCTTTCAGGAAGCATGTGAGAGAATTAAGGCCTCCACAACAAGAAGTGCAGATTTCTTTACTGTGATGAAAGAAAATGAGCTTAGATCTTCTTCAAAATCTAGGTTTAGTGCAATGGAAAGAGAAAGCCATGAGATAATTCGTAGTTTCTCAGCAGGGTCAGGATGGAATGTTCAAAGTTCTGAGGGACATATTAGTCCAGTTTCAAGTGAAGAATGTAAAACACCTGTGAAATCATCAGCACAGTTAGTGACTGCAACAAAGCCTCGTTCCCAACTTTACAGTTTTGGTGGCTTTTCTCGCACTAATCACTTAATGTCTTTTTCACTTTCTGGAACTAGATGTTTTGAAAACTTTAGTAGCAGCAGCTGTAAGCTGCAGATGTCTAGAAGTACATTTGAGTATCCCATGTCGGGCAGTATGTTAAGGTATATCAATATTTCATTATTCTTTAATAATTTGTAAAATTTTAATATGTTGAATGTTGTTAATATTAAGACTTTTCTTTCTCTCTCTAAAACTCTTAATGGTAAAAGTATGAAGAATACGCAAGTGCATGTGAAGAAATGAGACAGAGAAGATTTGAGAAATAATTTATTGGGTCTCAAATAAATTATGATAAAAACTTGTTTAAGTTGAGATTCATTTTGTAAGAGATTTGATAGTTTCTATTTGTTTGATCTTGTTTCCTGCTCCTTGTATACATCCATATGTTCTCCATTTACTTATATTGTTTGCTATGTCATTTAGTTTTCTACATTTAGTTCCCTTCCTTCAACTCCTCCTATATTTGGATCCTTCCCCCCCCCCTCCCCCCCTGGAGTGTATTCTTCTGTTACTTGTTTTAGAACCCTCTTCTTTCCTCTTAAAACATGCCCTTTCCTGTTCATTTTTTCCCTTTTTGTCTCCTCAGATAATTGTTTCCTCCCCTATTCTTCCTCTTTCTGTCCCATAATTTAACAAAACAATTCATCGCTATTTTCACATTTCTCCAATCAGTGTTTTTTACTCTTCTCAAAGTCCATATTTCTGCTCCATACATGAAAGCATTCCACACAAAGGCCTGGATCATCCTTCTTTAGACTTGTCTAACCTCTGGCTACACAGTAATTTTCTTATTCTTTATAAATGCCAGCATTGATAAAGTTATTCTAATAATAATAATAATAATAATAATAATAATAATAATAATAATAATAATAATAATAATAATGATAATAATAAAAATAATTAGAAGAAGTGGTAACAATATTAAGTATTAGCAATTTGAATGAAATAGCACATTGAAGTTGATTCTAGTTGGATAGTGGGAGTACCAGGCCTTTGAGAACCCTCCAGATGTTCCACGACGAGATCAATACAAAGTAGCTAGTAGTTATTTAAGTTAACTAGTTGCAAATTGAAATTAATTCTAGAGGGATAGCTGAAATCAAAATCAAAATGTCATTTCTTTGTAGTTCCTTCTCACTTGTAGCAAGAAAAATTTTATTTCTGTATAATTTATAAGAACATAAGTGATTGATTATTGAAAAAAACTATTGTATTTTCCCAAGAGAATTTTTTCATAAGATCATACAATATTATTTGTAAATGGTGATCCGTGTTTTCTTTTGGAGTGTAGTCTAATTTTTATTAATTTCCAAACCAATATTGATACACACATACACATGCGCGCGCACACACACACACACACACACACACACACACACACACATGCACACGCGCTCACACACTAGCACATGCACACAGGCACTCATACCCACATTATACCTTATGAGACAAATTATAGAGACAATATTTTCATTTTGGAATGGGGAGTGGGAGTAGAAGGGAATCTTGTAAGAACGGCTGTGAGTGATAGAAGTGTATCTAAACCACTCCATGGTCTTGACACAAAGAACACAGGAACAAACATCAATATTAATGCTGAGAATGGTGATTCCCCC